TAGATTTTCTAACAATACTTGACCTAAAACATGAATAACGTTTTGCCATCATTGGATAAAGTGGTTCTGAAACTTGCAATAAGGTGCAAATAATATGTGGGTAAAATCAGTGTCAGAGTGATAAAGCGTTTTGGCACACATGCATACACACGCAGGCATGACATATGCGGGTCAAATGCACACTTAGAGTATAGGAAGTCTTGCTGATGGTGATAATATAACTCTGCCAATGACTCTCTCATAGATGTAAGAACAGGTTACCTCATCATATGCTCCAACCAATCATTGTAATTTGGTTGACACGTCTTTGTATAGCATAAAATACATCTTCAGTGTCATCTTTAATTTTTTTTTTTCTACCTGGGAGCTGTATATGTGTGGCTGAGCGGTGGACAGTGACTGTTTTGTAACCAATAAAACAGGCCTGATTCAGAACATGTGCTTGAATAAACTGGCAATGGAGAGAAACTATTTTGCTGTCCTGTCACTTGTAATAAACGTAGTGTGCATCGCACTCTGCTGAGGATCTTTGATGAGGAAGGAGTTTACAGCAACACCTGGCTATCCTCAGCTCGTTTCCATTTCACTCATGAAAACTTTCAGATGTGAATAGAAATTTAAATAATTATATTTATAAACCGTTTAAATCAATCGGCTAAGCAGAAAAAAATAAACACTTATGAAAAAAAAAAAAAAAACATCTTTCAAAAACTTCAAACTTCACTTGTAAAAAGCAAAACATTACATTTGTAGAAAAAGATGAATGTAATGAAGTCATCCAAAATGCTTTGCATCAACCTTGGTTGTGACAGACTCCCTGACAAGCAATCTGTCACCTGCTCCGGATTCAGGCTTAAATATTTCAACAGCCTTCAGGAAAAGTGCTGAAGTGGCTCAGAGTGGATTCAACTGCTGAGCAATTAAAAAAGCTGAGAAGTCAAAAGAGGCTGTGATGCTGACTGAAAGGAATAGAGGCCAAACTATATTTTTTTACAGAGCAAAACAGTTTAAATCAAATCAGACCAAACAAATTCATGGATTTCACTGCTGCTGCCAGTGTGCAGTCCCGGCTTCAGACAATCTTATGTTTTTGTTATACGCCTCAGTTTGCTGCAGGAATAGTTCAAGGGGGAAAAGATGGAGAAATCTGGAATATTCTCTTACCTGTGACTGATAACTCGGTAGTCCTCCGAACAACAAAGTTCCCAAACGGTATTTCACAGGTGTAATTCCCAATATCATCTTCTCTCACTTCCTTGATGAACAGAGTGTCCCTCCTTCTCTCTATGGTTTGTCTCCACTGCTTTGGCTTGCAATCCTTTTGTTTGCAAATCAAATGACAGACATAAGCAAAAGTTTCAGACAAATATGGTCTATAGTTACTGTGCTGATTTCAGTTGTACTCTTTAAAATGGTTGCATCATGACCACAGTCAGAGGGAAAAGAGAACATTGTTTTAATTTGAACAAATTGGAGAATAAAGCAATTGAATTATCTACCAAAATAATAATTGATACCTTTGCATTCATGACTTGTTGTTTATTGCTTAATCATTGGCAAAAAAGATAAATATATATATATATATATATATATATATATATATATATATATATTTTTTTTTTTTAACATCTTCTCACTTTAACTATAGATAAAATTTATACTTTTGTGACCTAATTAGGAAATATTGCAGAATGAGTGATCCCAACAATGGCCAGATACATTGTCTTATTTTTATATATATACTTTTTTGTTCTGGGTAGCAAAATCTTCTCCCGGAAGGTAACAGCCTGAATGCAGTAAAAAGTGGATGCTTTGTACTTGCTAGGATAATTTTTGCTTCGTCATCCAAGCTGACATCCAGCAGCTTTCTGGCTGCTGGATGTCAGCAGAGATACGACTTTCCTCTATGTGCGCTTTTGTGTTTCTGCATGCCACAAAACCAGCAGGTAGTACAAAATGTTAAAACCTTCTCCACACAAAAACACTGTGGGCTATCTTCAGCAACAAATGAAGCCAACTTGTTTTTTTAAAGAATAGTGAGTCTGTGCCTTTCTTTCTTCAATGGAAAAAAAAGGGACCAACCCGAGTTGTTTAATTTCATTAAATTCATTAAAGGTCTTTGCAGACTATGCATTGGTGATTGTAATGTCAGATTTTGGGGATGCAATATTTAGGGGACTAAGAAAAATGAGTCTAAGAGTAATAAGGAAGAACTAGATACAAGAAATAAATATTATAAACTAAGAAGAACTGAACTAAGGTAAAACAGAAAAAAAAAACTAAGGAACACAGAATCATAATGAAAACAGAATCAATAAATCAAACTCCACAACAACTCAACAACCTGTCATGCTAACAATTTCCAATTAAAAAAAGGACAAAAAATAAATTTGAAGGCTGGTGTCTTCTGTAAAGATGAAGTGATAAACAGTGTGTAGGACAGCATGGTTCTGTGCACAGAACCCAGAGATAACTAGCTGCATCTCTCAGATCAGATGTGACTCACCAGTATCCTTTAATTTCTTTAGGTATGTTTGGTTTCAAAAACAGATCATCTGTGAAATTTGCCCTGTATGTGAGAAGCAGTGTGGTTTGATAAATGGAGCACTAATGGTAGTAAAGTTTTGCTTACATTAGCCTTTCGGTCGTTAGCTTATTGACAAGGCAGTAAGAAGCTAATTCAAAGACGGGCTATTTGTAAGAACAACTGTAGATATTAGAAAGTGATTCTGATCTATGCAAGATAAAAGTGTCGTACAAACTTCCTTCTCAGACAGTTGGGATTAAAAAATAGTCTTGAGTTGTTCGTGCAGCACAGCTAGATTTGCATTACCTTTGATGAGTTAAGCTGCATTGATTACTGACTATATACTGGCCAACTTAACCGTAGTTAAAATTAAATTACGCCATTTTGTCTGCTTAGCACACAAACAAAAGAGATCGCAAATTGGTCACAAAACTTTAATCAGTGAATTTATTTTGATGTAAAAGAGTCAGGTTGTTTGTAGACATATAAACTCTGGTTGGAAAGAAAAGAGCTGTGCAGGTTAGGTCCAATATGAAATGGACCTATAGTGTATATTTTAGGGATATTTTATGTCATTCAGTGGTTAGGGACACTAGTTCCTCAGCTAACTCCTTGAAAGATGGGAGTGACAAGCACTCAGACCAACACTCACCAGGTGGTTCAGCACACAATGAAAAACAGCCCGAAAGAGCAAAAATGATTTAATTACTCTCCTTCTGTATCTCAGCTCATGCTACCATGTAGGTAGCGAGAGGAAGGCAGGTACAGCCTTTCAGGATCAGCTCAGAGCTCGGAGATTTGGGGCCACCTGAGGCAAAGAAAACTGGGGCACAGCAGGTCCGCCTCTCAGAATTTAATCAGCCACCAGCAAAGTGAGAGCCAATAACTGGAGGGTGTGGAGCCCACAGTCATTGTCTGCTATTTTAATTTAATTTCTGCAGGAGAGCAAAGCGATTTGGCCATCTTATCCGGTGGAGTAACGTTTGATGAATTGGTCTGCGAGCTGCACCTAACAGCTCTGTCAAAGAGGCCTGTCGGACAGAGGGGTTCTGGCTGGGTCAGTTACACTCGGTGGGCTCACAACTCCTCATTAGCAGGAGGATTAGGTTTAAAACCAGAGAGCCAGATAAATGTGTTTACGTAGCAAATCAATATGCTTTAGCTGTACATTAATTATTTTGAGTTATAGAAGCTAAATGTGATAAGGTAAGGTGAGCTTATTAACCTTAGGTATGTTTGTCTTGGTCAGACAAGATAGACCATTAAATCATAAAACCAGGAATGTGCAGAGATAGATAGTAGGCAGTGCAAGAGAATCAGATCAATAGGAAGGTTAAAAATACTAATTTCTTTGAAATTATTCAAATAAAGAATAAAAGAATATTCCAATGATTCTTTAAAATAAAATGCCTCTTACCTTGTACCAAACTATTTTCGGTTCCACCCCCGGCTGTATGAAGTCCTCGATGTCTGGGCAGGTGATGTTTTTGCATTTGCTCAGTTCTGCCTTCTCAAAGAATCTCATTTTGGAGTTGTAGCAAAGGTCTGTGTCATTCTGTGCCACGATGAGGGACATGGACACCTTCATGCAGTATGTGGAGTTCCTGGAATGACAGAGTGATAAAAACCGGTTAGAGGGAGGAAGAAGGGATTATACAGAAGCCCTGAAAGGCCTGCAGAGCAAAGCTTTCAGTACTACATATTTAGTTAGCTGTGGAAATGCTGCAAGGTTCAGAGCAGTGAGTCATTAAATGTAAAAACACCTACAGGAAGAATTTTTCTTGTTTATTGATGGTACATTTCCTTCAAACAACAAATTAGTATCTACGCAATTCCAGATTAATTAAATGATTTAGTGAGTTCTGTAAACGGCACTGTTTCTTGATTGTAATTTTTTATTCTTAATGTACATTTGTTTGTTTTAACAGTGTGGAGCAGGATGTTTAGCAAAGTGACAGCTCCAGAGAACTGATGGAGCATTTTGTTTTCGTGCATTAGCCCTTTGTAGAGCCAGCTACAGTAGCAGAAAATTACCTTCTGCAGCTGATGTACTGTAACTGCTCAGGTCATATACATAAAGACAAGAATTTACAACGCGAGGCAGAGGCAGCGTAAAATGGGAGATTGCTTGTAACGCCTCAGCCTTCGAGCTTTGTCTGTGTCTAAAGATAATAGCTGGGAATCATCCTCAGTGAAAGAAATGTTTGATATTGCTGCTGAGGTAGATGGTTCATATCAAATATACGTAGAAGACCTGGAGGAATGTAATGGTTTTGTTCCTGTGCACAACAGACAAATAAGGTGTGAGGCAAGATGTTTGTTATTGAGGAAAAAAAAACCTTCCTCAATTCACCATGACGTGTGTGTGCATTTGTGCCGCAACAAATTCGGCAGAGATGATTTAAAGAGGTGTTTCTAGATTATTTTTTTACAAAGGTGTTTTCTAGCAACACAAAAAACGATTTCCACTGGATTTATGTCAAGCAGTATGTTGACAAAGGTCCAATAACTTTGATTTGCCTTTGTGCTTAAAACAATGTTCAATTTATGACGTTTATGAAGTTTGGAATGCTTTTATTTTGAAGAACCAGTAGAGTATTCAATTTTGTTGAGTAAATTGTGTCGTAATCACTTTTAGATTTCCAAAGCATTTGTTGACGATTGTTCATTTCAGAAACCCCATCAGCGCAGATACAACTATTTCTCATTTTCCTTGATCATCTGTAATCATTTTATAAGGAAAAAAAACTTGTTGTAAAACACTAAATCAATCTGAGTGATTATAGAGGTTTGTAATAATACTGATCACATCTCTTCCAGGCCAGAGTAAAGTTGGAGGCTGGAGCTGCCGCTTGAGCAGTTCTTAACGAAACATAGGAATCAATCGGCACATTGATCCACTGTAAAAGTTGTGCTATTTGAAGAAGGAGATCAGAAGCAAATGTTGTGGGTGATCGATAAATTCAATGAAAGCACCTTTTCTGTGCCCAAACAGCCTAATAAGGCTGTCACAGTTGACAAGTACTCGAGGCTGACTGCAGCAAATCCCCGCTGGTTTAAAGACCAAACAAATTGGCAGTATTTAGCGAAAATCTCACAGCTAATTTTCCAACTAAAGCTGGTTACACAAATTGAGCTGAACCAACAAACAATTACAAACATGTTAAATCCTTACATAATTGTGTCGTATTAACGGCCTTGTGGATTTAGCATCGCACATGTGACTCCTCGCTACAGTATCAGCTTTAAAATCCCTCGCCCCTCTGAACCGGCCCGCGCCGTTGGCGTCTCTTACAATACGGGCGCTGTTTTTTCGTGAAGCCCTGATGCAAATGTGACATGATGTGGAGATTATCCCAGACAACTTCCACCAGATGGACACCTGTGCAAATGAGATCCCACGGGTGTGCCCTTTTCTCTGCTAAATATTCTGGGCAGCGCTGATAAACTCATTGACTGGATGAGAAAGACAGAAAGAGAGAAAGAGAGAGAGAGAG